CCCTTCGGGATTTCCTAGAGCGCTGGAGGACGGAGGCCGACAAGGTCGACGGTGCTGATGACGGGACCCTCCTGGCCCTCCTACAAACCGTCCTCCGCACCGGCAACTTTTCAAGGAGCCTCATCATTGAACCCCCCCGCGACTACATAAGGGCCTTGCAGCGGGGGGACCGGTATGCTGAGGCCGAGGAGGTGGAGAAGTATCACCAACACCCGGACCAGCAGCCCCCGAGGGCTGACAACAAGCATAACCGAGGGCCGGGGGTTCCTCCAAATCGCCCCAAGACTTCGGGACCCTCCGATGACCGCCCTCGGCAAGGCCAAGCCAAGCCCGGGGGAGGTTATAAGAGCAACCCTAAGACTTGGGCCCAGCCCATTCTCCTGGACCGCCCTCGGACACCATTGACGCACCCCGTCAGCATCATCCTCGATTTTGCCGAGGAGAGGGGCCTCGTTGAGCGCGACTCTCGCGCACCCCCGGAGGTACACGCTATCAACCCTCAGTTCCCCTACTGTCGCTTCCATCGGCACCAGTGGCACTTGCTCAGCTCACCAGGGACCCTTCTCCATGTCCCGAAGGCTCATTCTCCAGGGCTACTTCTGGCCAACCATGGCCAGGGACTGTGCTGACCTTGCCCGGAGGTGCACCGCATGTCAACATTTCCAGAAAGCTCCCGGCAGGCCAGCGGTCAACTATGCCCCCATCAGCACCTCTGTCCCATTTTCTCGATGGGGGATAGACCTTGTGGGCCCTCTGCCGAGGGGTACCTCCAACAACAGATACATCATTGTGGCCGTCGACTATTTTACCAAGTGGGTGGAGGCTGAACCCCTCGCTAGCATCACAGAGGCGAAGTGCCGTCACTTCGTCCTCAAGAACATCCTCACAAGGTTTGGCGTCCCCCAGCAGATCATCTCCGACAATGGGACACAATTTGAGGCAGCCCCCTTCTGCGCCCTTCTGGAGGCATGGGGCATCAAACACACCTTCTCCTCCGTTGCCTACCCTCAAGGCAACGGGCAAGTAGAGAACGCCAACCGGACCTTGCTCGAGGGCCTCAAAAAGAAGCTGGAGGCCGAGGGCGGTGGCTGGGTAGAAGAACTTCACAACATCCTTTGGGCCTACCGCACCACCCCTCGGCGAGCTACAGGTGAAACACCCTTCTCCCTCTGCTACGGTTTTGAAGCCAAAGCTCCTACGGAAGTCACCCTTCCTACCCGAAGGGTGATCCAGTATGACCCCGAGGTCAACGACAGCAACATGGCCCTCGACCTCCACCTCATTTCAGAACGCCGGGAGCAGGCCTTCATCCGGGCAGAAAACTACCGAAGGCAAGTTAAAAGCTACATCGACGCCAAAGTTCGAACCCGAGAATTTCAAGTGGGGGACTATGTCCTCCGGAGGAGGGAAGCCAGCCAACCAACCGAGGGAGGAAAAATGGCACCAAAATTCGAAGGCCCCTACATCATAGCGGCCATCATCAAACCCGGGACCTACAAGCTCAAACGCCCCAATGGGAAAGAAGTCCCTAGGCACTGGAATGTACACCATTTAGTTAAATTTTATCAATAATGTAAGAGCGGCCAAGCCCTCATAACTAGTGAATGTACTATCCTATGGCCCAAGGCCTCCAATTTCGGAGAATGAAGATACATTCAAGACATCAAGCCCTCATACTAACTACAGGCCCCAGGCCTCACCACGAGAAGAACCCCCTCCGGCACCAAGTGCCGAGGGCGGACACCATCAACACCTACTACAAACAGTGAAAACACCACGTGTTTTCAGTCAAGACCCCTCGGTACCAAGTACCGAGGGAGGGAACTCCTATCACCAACAACAAGGAACACCATGTATTTCATTTCCCTTCGGCACCCAGTGCCGAGGGTACATCCCCACCTTCAACATCAAAAAAGAAAAGATGAGAACACCAAGTGTTCCTACAGAAGACCCTTCGGCACCCAGTGCCGAGGGTACATCCCCACCTTCAACATCAAAAAAAGAAAAGATGAGAACACCAAGTGTTCCTACAAAAGAGAACACCAAGTGTTCCTACAGAAGACCCCTCGGCACCCAGTGCCAGGGAGATGCTCTCCTATCAACTTCCAAACATCTATTGGGAAACACCAAGTGTTTCACTTGAAGACCCTTCGGTACCAAGTACCGAGGGTAGACACCTCCATCAACGGCAACAAAGGAGAACACCAAGTGTTCCTACAGAAGACCCCTCGGTACCAAGTACCGGGGGCTACACATCGAAACTAACACCAAGTGTTGTTTCTAAAAGTCGTACCCCACGAGGACGCATATACCGAAGGCGCCACCATCGGTGCCGGCGGCACGTAGTGCCCCCGGCCATTTGCAACTAGTGTGCAAATGAAAACCCTTCCTTGAAACGCTTTCCGCGTCACTACCCCCAGGGTATGACAGGCATGAGAAATGCCCAGGATTCGACTTTCAAAAACGGAACGCTATCCGCGTCATTACCCCCAGGGTATGACAGGCATGAGAAATGCCCAGGATTCGACTTCCAAACCGAAACGCTCCCCGCGCCACCACCCCAAGGGTGTGGCAGGCCACGGACTATGTCTAGCGCCGAGGGGACGACTTTCAAAAATGAGGCGCTTTCCGCGCCATCCCCCAAGGGGAGGCAGGTTACGGACCACCATATCTTGTGCCCAGGAAACGTCCCTCGATCCCCTCGGAACTCGGAAGGTTAACCCAAGGGAGGAGAGCCATTGGTGTATTCTGATGGTCTCCTAATAGGCCCAGCCTTACCAAGAAACCAAGTTTCTTGATGCCTTCCCTTCACCACCAACCAAAAAAAAAAAAAAAAAAAAAAGAGGGGGTGAAGGGGAGTAGACTCAGCGAGAAATCAAAGAGTACACTCCAACAATATCACAACATGCCGAGGGCTCCCCATGGGAACACCTCCGGTAATTGAAGACTCCTATTTCCCGAAGGATACTACTCAAAGAAATATCATCAGGAAACGGCTAAGTCCACTACCTGGTCACCTCCGGTCACAAAAACATCGAAAGCTTCAACAATACAAAGGGACTGGACTATCCAAGGTCCACTAAACGGTACTTCAAACAAACGCCGAAGGCATCTGTTATGCACAAATACCGAGGGCCCTTTCCCCATGACAAGGGTCAAATTCTACAACTTTTAAAGTGTATGCCGAGGGCACACACTCCTCATTGGCTTTCTTCACAACAACAGGATTCAACATCAATTTATGCTTAGAAAAATTCTAAGTCCTGAAGGAGCAGCCCCCGGGCACCCGAAGGCTACACAGGGAAGCAGCACTTGAAAAAATTCTAATACCTAAAGATTGGGCCCCCGGCCCAATCAATATTACAGCCAAGGGAATATGGTGGCCGAAGGCCATGCAATACAACAACACTTAAAAAAGGAGTATTCTGTCCTAAATGAGTAGCCCCCGGGCATCTGCAATGTGGTGTGGAATCAGAGGGCACCCATCACCCGAAGGCTCCCAAGGGAAAATCCACACTTAGAAGATTTTCTAAGTCCTACATGTTTCCCCCCCGGTCAACTACTCATACATCAAGGAGGGATGCCATCTCCCGAAGGCTCCCAAGGGAAAATCCACACTTAGAATATTTTCTAAGTCCTACATGTTCTCCCCCCCGGTCAACTACTCATACATCAAGGAGGGATGCCATCTCCCGAAGGCTCCCAAGGGAAAATCCACACTTAGAATATTTTCTAAGTCCTACATGTTTTTCCCCGGTCAACTACTCATACATCAAGGAGGGATGTCATCTCCCGAAGGCTCCCAAGGGAAAATCCACACTTAGAATATTTTCTAAGTCCTACATGTTTTCCCCCCCGGTCAACTACTCACACATCAAGGAGGGATGCCATCTCCCGAAGGCTCCCAAGGGAAAATCCACACTTAGAGTATTTTCTAAGTCCTACATGTTTTTCCCCGGTCAACTACTCATACATCAAGGAGAGATGCCATCTCCCGAAGGCTCCCAAGGGAAATTTACACTTAGAATATTTTCTAAGTCCTACATGTTTTTCCCCGGTCAACTACTTATACATCAAGGAGGGATGCCATCTCCCGAAGGCTCCCAAAGGAGATTTTGCACTTAGAAGATTTTCTAAGTCCTGCATATTTCCCCCCCGGTCAGCTACTCATACATCATGAAGGGATGCCATCTCCCGAAGGCTCCCAAGGGAAACTCTACACTTAGAAGATTTTCTAAGTCCTACAGTTCACAAGGAATCAACACTTAAGAAAATCTTCTAAGTCCTAAAGAATTAGCCCCCGGCCTATTCAATATTACAGGTGGGGCTCCACAGTAGCCGAAGGCTACGTGACATACTACGCTTGCAAAAAATCTCTGAGTCCTGAACATTGGGCCCTCGGTCCAAGATTCACGCATCAGGAAGGGATCCCATTTCCCGAAGGCTCACAAGGGATGATCCACACTTAGAAATTTTTCTAAGTCCTAGGATGTGGGTTACTACAAACGCCCGAAGGCCTCATGCTGTGCTACACTTAGAAAAAAATTTCTAAGTCCTAATTGCTGCTGAACCCTCGGTTGCATATCCATCAGAGAATGCCCAACTACCGAAGGCTACACCTGTATTCAAACACTAGGAAAAGATTCTAAGTCCTACACATACATTCAAAAATGCCGAAGGCATACACTCAAGGAAAACGGAGGCATACATTCAAGAAGAAAGGAATTGAAGGGAACAAGTCATGTATACAAAGCCCGAAGGCGATCATTCAATCATAAAAAAAAAGCAAGTGTAATTGCGATGTTACTATTACAAACGGGCCGAAGCCGAAGGATCAATGTTGTTCGTTACAAAATGTATTCAGACATTACAAATTATGAAGTCACTCTACAACTACAACAACATCATTCACCGGGGGGCCCTCTGCAGCCGGCCTCGATGATGCCTCCGCTCCGGTCTCGACGGCGTCGTCCTCAGCCTCATTCTTCAACTCCGTGTTTTCAAGGTCGGGCCTCTGAACACCTTCCGGGAGCGACTCACGGACATCAGGCTGCAGGGGAGGAAGGCCATACGCCGAGGGGGAGAAGTCCTTTTGCTCAATGCCCAAATGTCGGGCCATCCTCCGGTAGATGAGGGCCTGGGTGAAGAATTCGCCGGCTTCATAGTACTCTCTGCCCTTCCGGGCCATCCATTCCCACCCAGGGCCCTCGGCCCATTCTTCAACGCATGCCTCCACGACCGAGGACACCCACATCTTGCGCCCCTCGGCTCTCCAATCCTCGGCGACAAAGGCCTCAACGGCCTCCTCCTGAGCCTTGGCGACGGCTAGCGCTTTGGAGTCCTCGGCCTCTTTAGCAGCTCTCCTGGCAGCGGCCTCAGCATCAGCCTTGCCTTTCTCTGCAGCCTCCAATTTCAAGCTCATCTGCCGGAGCTCCTCTTCTAGCTGGGCCCCCAGCTTCACCGCCTCTTGGTTCTTGAGGAGGCACTCCCTCATTCTGGCGTCTTGCTCCGCTTTGTGGAGGCGCCATTCTTGAAGCCTCCGAGCCTGTTCGCCGAGGGCTAAGCAAGCCTGCAGAACAACAACAAAAACAGTTAAAGGCAATCACACAAAATAATCAAAGGAGAAGATGGAGAAAGCCAGGTAAACACTTACAGAGAGGGAGGAGCGGAGAATGTGGTCCTCGAGGGCCGCATCATTATAGGCCCCGAGGGCAGCCCTATCCGTCTCAGGGGTCATACCCCTCAGGAAGGCCCCCGGGTCGACAGCGCCGCTGGCCAAAGATGTACCCCTCGGGAACGCGACTTGGAGGATCTCAGGCAGCAACTCCTCTGCCCCCTCCGGCGTTCCACCCGGCAGCTTCTCCACCTGCACCCCGGAGGCGGGGTGCTCATCAGCGATAATGACCGGGGGCTCCTTCTCGGCGACATCCCCCTTCTTCGGCTTTTTGGTAGCCGGGGGGGACCCCTTGGTCACTGCCTTCCTCTTGCCGGCAGCGGCATCACCCTCGGCTTTCTTAAAAAGGGCAGTGGCGGGCTTCTGGATGCCCTGTCCCGACCCCTTCGGGTCCTGTTTCTTCAAACGAGCAAGGCCCTTTACGTTCACCATAGAGACGGGGATACCTGCACAAAGGAGACAAAGGGTTAGTCCGACGGGTCTAAGCGAAGGGACGATAACATCCAAGCAAAAAAAAAACTAAGTACAAAATTCTAAAGCCCTCGGCTCCTACCTCCGGCCCCTCCGAAGGCCTTGTTGAAGGGAGGGTACTTTTCATCGGTCTCCCCTATGAAGCGGTACCTCCGGAACCCGAGGGTGTATAAATCCTCCTCGAGGGTGCAGTCTTTGATCGCCACGTTCTTGTTTTTCCCCTCCGGGAACTTGGCCAGCTTTAGGCCGTCTTTCTCGAGAGCGGCACTCCTGATCTTTTCGTGCCTTCGGAATCGATCACGCAGCTCCCTCGGGAATGGGCTCTCATCCAACTTTACATAGCACCAACGTTCCCTCCATCCTTTGTTGGAAGAAGGAGCATCGGAGAATAGTTTGAAGCGGGCAATCTACTGCAGGTTGGCATACCCCTCGCCGTTTTCGTGCCCCCCCGGTACAAATTAAAGCTCTGGAAGAATAGATCCAGGCTGGGCTTCACCCCTCGGGACTTGCAGAGCTGGAGGAACCCCGCAATGTAGGAGTGGCTGTTGGGCGTGAGTTGGCAGGGGACCAAGCCAACAAACCGCAAATATTCCCGGAGGAATGGGTGCAGAGGGAACCTAAGTCCCATGGAAACCGAAAGGACGTGAATAGCGATACACCCCTCGGGTGCCCTGGACAACACGTCGTCGGGACCTGGCTCCACCACTTCGGCCGAGGGCCCCACGTGCAGCTGAGTCACGTACAGATCTGCCCTGTCAGCCTTCGACCTGATCTCGAGGGCCTCAGTGTTCAGCCAACTATACCCCTCGGGCATGTCCACGGGCTTTCCTTGATCGACGGCCCTCTCCTTCTTCTTGGTAGCGGCCTTTTTCTTCTTCAAACCGGAAACCGCCCTCAGAGGTATCGGATCCAACGGCCTCGAGCTACTGGCCTCCCCGGAACCCCGAGGGGGGAGGACAGCAATCGTAACCTTCGAGCTCTCATTCTGGGCCTCATCCTCCGCTGTCTGCCATGCGAGGGCTAAGTCTTCATCATCGCACTCCTGCTCGAAGCCCTCGGCTTCAACCTCCGCAGTGAGTTCCTTCTGGACCTCCTGGGCCAGGGCTGCATCACCACCATCCGAGGGTTGACCACTGCTTGACTCCACGTCGGAGATGCCTTCGTCCTCCATCGAGGGCGTCCTCGAGATATCTTGAGAATCACTCTGGGACGACATTCGCACTCTAGTTCGAGGGCTCGTAGACGGTAAGTGTTTCCTAACTTTTCTATCTCCTAACCTAAGGGCACAGTACAGCTATGCTAGAAGGAGAAAGGCAGGGAGCACTGACCTCGAAAGCTGATTTAGGACCGAAGGCGGGAGTTTCTCTCACTAGATTTTTTGGCAGAGCTTCGCTAAAACAACTGAGTTCGCACAGGGGAAATGGCTCTGGCCTTGGGGTATTTATAGGCGATGAATCCGGGCTTGGGCCTGGATTCCGGGCCTCCGGACGGACCGCCATCATTACACACCGCCGTTTCACCCAACCGGTGACGCCGCCCACGAACAGCCAGCCATCACACGCCACGTGTGCCACCCCCCCCCCCAACGGTTATATCCTGTCGTTACATATTCCAACGGCTATATTTCCAACGGCTATATTCTGGAAGCCCCCGGGTTTTCTACTTCACTCCTCTTCATCAAGGATAGCCTCCGGGTTGTGCCCCACACAGCACATTACACACGCCTTCGGGATCACTCCTTCAGATCCCTAGGGCTGCATATCAGGGCACCCCTCGGGGTTTCCCCCTCAGCACTGCAAAACCGGGTAGCCCCCGGGGAGTTTCCTCATTGACGGATGGCCCCTGGCACACAGGTAATGGGGAGCCCTCGGGTATCTTCATCACCAACAAATCAACAAACAGCGGACCCCCCGGTAACGACTTCACTGCCGCCCTCATCTGGCAGGCCCTCGATCCATGGATTGAGGGACTCCCCTTCGGCGCCACCAGGACATCAACAGCAAGCCTTCGGCTAATCAACACAGGAGCCCTCAGAAGAGAGAGCCTTCGACATTCCCGCCATTCTCCATTTTTTACCAAGGTTTGACATTTTCGATTCATCATTGGGGGAATTCGGTGCACTCTTTTTCCCTCATTAGGATTTTTCCCAAAGGGTTTTTCCTAATGAGGTTTTTAACGAGGCATCCCCCCAAAATGAAACGAAAAGCGTCAGCCTTCGGCCCACAACAGCAACGTAACTACTTTACTCCTTTTCACCACTTTACAAGTGCCTCAAGGAGTGGGGGACTGGAGGACCCCCTCGGGAAAATCATTAAATTACAAAATCTGTGAAATTCCAACAAACAACAAAGCAAGCCCTCAAGTCCCGACATGTGGGTAACTGAGGGACTGCCTTCGGCAGGGACATAAAAGCAACGACTCCTCACCAACTTCAGAGATCACGACGGGACAAACATCAAAGGGCAAGCACAAATTACTCCTTTTCCCTCAAGTACCTTTCGGCAAAAGGAGTGAGGGGCTCCTGATGGAGTATATGGCCCGGGAACCCCCGGCCCACAGACTCCTACTACTCCATCGAAGGCCCAACAGGCCCAACAGGCCCAAATCACAGCGCCCAGAGTACCAAGCAGCCCGCACTACGCGCCAGGGGTGCCTTCGGCCCCCTGGCCGAAGGGTCTAAACTCTCACAGAACGGGTTTCTCAAGCAAACTAAGAAAATGGGAGAAAACGGCGAAAACAGTAGCCCTCGGTACTATGAGCCCTCGGCACCAAGGTGCCCTCGGTTGGAGGAGCCTTCGGCTACTGCTCTATGGCCGAAGGCATCTCACTCGACAAGATATCCGCCTCACATGCGTACAGATCACCGTACTCCGCACAGACGTCCCATCCAACAGCTGCATTAAATGCGGCCACATGCGGCTGCCAGCGCCAACCAGTTGAGGTGACCCCTCGGCCAATGAGCGCTTGACACGTGTCCCTGCCCGGCATTTATTGCTACTATAAATAGCACCCCTTTTCCCCATTTGTAACCAAGTCATAACACGCTGAAAACACTCCGCATTTATAATACATTTTCTCTCTCTACTTTTATTTACTTGCTCTGACTTCTCTCTAAATTATTCCCCGTAATAACCCTTCGGATATATACCCCCGGGTAGACTATCCATCAAGCAATTATTTATAATTCTTATTTCTCACCTACTTTGCATTTGGAGTCTAACGAGATGAGGTGGTATGACATATCTTTACTGGAGTTTCTCTCACTAGATTTTTTGGCAGAGCTTCGCTAAAACAACTGAGTTCGCACAGCGGGAATGGCTCTGGCCTTGGGGTATTTATAGGCGCTGGAATCCGGGCTTGGGCCTGGGTTCCGGGCCTCCGGATGGACGCCATCATTACTCACCGCATCTTCGCCCAACCGGTGACGCCGCCCACGGACAGCCAGCCATCACACGCCACGTGTGCCCCCCCCCCAACGGCTATATCCCGTCGTTACATATTCCAACGGCTATATTTCCAACGGCTATATTTTGGAAGCCCCCGGGTTTTCTACTTCACTCCACTTCATCAAGGATAGCCTCCGGGTGCACTCACCCAGAAGTGCCCCCGGGTTGTGCCCCACACAGCACATTACACACGCCTTCGGGATCACTCCTTCAGATCCCTAGGGCTGCATATCAGGGCACCCCTCGGGGTTTCCCCCTCAGCACTGCAAAACCGGGTAGCCCCCGGGGAGTGCCTCATTGACGGATGGCCCATGGCACACAGGTAATGGGAGCCCTCGGGTAACTTCATCACCAACTCATCAACAAACAGTGAACCCCCCGGTAACAACTTCACTGCTGCCCTCATCTGGCAGGCCCTCGATCCCTGGATTGAGGGGCTCCCCTTCGGCACCACCAGGACACCAACAGCAAGCCTTCGGCTAATCAACACAGGAGCCCTCAGAGGAGAGAGCCTTCGGCATTCCCGTCATTCCCCACTTTGTACCAAGGTTTGACATTTTCGATTCATCATTGGGGGAATTCGGTGCACTCTTTTTCCCTCATTAGGATTTTTTCCCAAAGGGTTTTTCCTAATGAGGTTTTTAACGAGGCATCCCCCCAAAATGAAACGAAAAGCGTCAGCCTTCGGCCCACAACGGCAACGTAACTACTTTACTCCTTTTCACCACTTTACAAGTGCCTCAAGGAGTGGGGGACTGGAGGACCCCTTCGGGAAAACCATTAAATTACAAAATCTGTGAAATTCCAACAAACAACAAAGCAAGCCCTCAAGTCCCGACATGTGGGTAACTGAGGGACTGCCTTCGGCAGGGACATAAAAGCAACAACTCCTCACCAACTTCAGGAATCACGATGGGACAACATCAAAGGGCAAGCACAAGTTACTCCTTTTCCCTCAAGTACCTTTCGGCAAAAGGAGTGAGGGACTCCTGATGGAGTATATGGCCCGGGAACCCCCGACCCACAGACTCCTACTACTCCAGCAAAGGCCCAACAGGCCAAAAAGGCCCAACAGGCCCAAATCACAGCGCCCAGAGTACCAAG